GTGAGAAATCATCCCCCTGGGGCAATGGCCATGTCAAAATCCCTTCTCTTCTGTTTCTCCTCTCAGGATTTTGGGCACACATGCTCATACACTTTGCTTGTTTCACTGTGCAGTCAGCCATAGGGGCGCTAGCCACCTTAACCACCTTGTACACTGGCACAGACTGGGTAATGTTAGTTGTTTTGGTTGTTTTCTTTTGTTGTTTTCACTTTTGTCTTTGTTGTTCAAATGCTTTAAAGGGGGACCAGAAGTTAGCATAATGGCTGTGTTGCTGGACTCCCATGTGGTCGACCGTGGTAAAACTCAGGCTGAGCACATGTGCATGCATGCCCAAGATCCTGAGAGGAGAATGGAGGAGAAGGGATTGCGGCATGGCCACCACCCCTGGGGGGGTGATTTCTTGCTTTCTGTCTCTCTCTCTCTCTCTCTCTCTGTCTAGTAAGCGCCCGTGCCCTGTAGCAAAAACCTCTCCAAAAAAAAAATTACTTGAAAGGAAATGCAATTTTTCCCCATTCCCAGAGGCAAAGCTAACTTTTTTGTTATTTAAGTATAAGATAATATTAGCTGGCCCTATAGCATGATTAAGGGAGCCAGGTCCCTCGTGGTTGACTGTAGTTCGAATTCCAGCCCCAGAGACTTGGAACACATACAGGCATATGTGCATATGTGCCCAAATCCCAAATGGCTGAAGAGATAGAGGAGAAAGAATTGCAGCATGAGGATACCCCATTGAGAGTGTTTTTTCCCTGTCTTTCTCTGTTAGGCAAGTGCATGTGGCTTCTGATAATTAGAAAAGCAAAAACAAATAGAAAACAATATTCTGTGTTCCAAAATTCTATTGTATGACCCCAAAAGATTCTGATCAGATCGATAGAACAAATGATTCTCAATCACTTGGGTGGCAAACTAGACCCAGGTCCTGATAATGTCATGGTTCTGGAGTGAGAATGGATTCTAAAGGCTTCCCAGGTCTTCATCCCCCTTAAGCTAGCAATCTGGTTTCTGTTTTTTGCCATTGTGGCTTTACATTCCCCAGTTCTTCCATGACATGAGAACACTCATTTAGCCATCATCTCCTGTAAGATCAGGCACTGTGTGAAATGAGACAGGGAAGAAACCCTGAACAAGTGGTCCTGGACCTGGGTCTTGCTTTGCTCTACTGTTAGTAAGTTATGTGATGTGTGACATATGTTTCAACTGATTCTTGGTCTTCTCTTTTGTTGAAGGCAACATGAAGTGGTTCATGAAAATCACAGGGTCCATCAGAAATCTGTGACCTTATACTTTGCTCTTCCCATGTAAGAGCAGTGAAACTACAAAATTACTTCCCTGCTTCTTTCTATACCTCAGTTTCTTGATTTATGAAATGGAGAAAACAACAACATCATAGACTAGTTTGATAAGGGTCAATGAAGCATCTCCAATATAGTTGTCATATAATAAAGCAAAAAAGTATGTTGTTGTCTTCCTCCCCCTTCTGCTCCACCTCATAATCATCATCATTGTAAAATTATTCAGTGTCTTTCATATTTAAAATTGCAATGTTCAAGGTAAGGGCTCTAACTTGTTTACATAATGGTATGCAAGTCAGGACTATATAGCAATGAACTAGAAAACAAAAACAGACAATATAATTAGGATATTAAAAAAGTCAGAGGAGACAAAGAACCACCAAATGTAAAGTAGCAAATGAAGCAGATATAATATAGTAAAAAAGTCAATAGGAAATAGAGACACCAGCTCCATTTGCGATGTTAGAATACTCAGAGAGAAACAGTAAATCACACATTGAAATAGAGATTTTATATGAGTAGAAACCACCTTCCATATAGAGGAATATATACAAGTTTTACAACTTCAAACATACACAATATCGTATTTCATAAAACTTGAGTCTCTATCTATAAATCAGATAGACACTTCTTATCCATTAATTTTTCTGTAGGAAAAAATTAATTCCCTTGGACTAGATCTCGAGTTTGAAGTGCATACGACCCAGCAGCCACATGAAACCAGGCTGTTTTGTGGAATTCGTTTGAGTTTTGGAGTCTGAATTACCTAATAAGAAGCCTCAAAAGAGCCAGTGATCGCAAGTAGAACTGAAGACTTGGGAAAGCTGAAACACACCCTAAGGAAAAGAAATTTCACCTTCAAAAACTGCTACAAGTATGCTCTTATTTCTGTAAATTTGTCTTACAGAAATATGAGAACTGTTTTTTTTTTTTTAAAGAAAAACATTTTAAATGTTTTAAAAATAATGAATGTAATATCAAAGGATTGAAAGTCAGGAATAATCAGTGCAAAGAAATATTAGAAGCAAAACAAACATACAATGCTTCTTACCTCTGACCTAGTATTCCTCCTACTCAGTACCTCAGAGACAGTCAGTGGAAAGAAGATAAATTAGAAGAGGGGAAAAAATAGTGTACCAAAAATTGGAAGGTTATGATAAATCCATAATTTGTCTGTCTCATAGGGAA